AGTTATATCAACTATTGCAATATCGTTTGGGCAAGCACATATATGTAAAACAAAAGCAAGCGTGTCGAATTGTATGCAAAGCTAACAGATATATCCATGCCAAACCATTATTCAGGGAAATTGGAGCTCTAAATGTTTATGAACTGAACCTTTTCCAAAATGTATTATTTATGTTTCAATCGCAAAACAATTTACTACCAAAATACTTTGAAAATCAATTTTCCACCATTGATCACAAATACCCAACAAAGTACTCTTTTCAAAACTTTAACATTCCAAAAACTTTACTTAAAATAACTGATTTCTCTATCTTATCTCGAGGACCGCGGCAATGGAATTCGATCCTTAAAGAAGAAATAAAAAACATGAAGTCATCAAATCTCTTCAAAGCAGCTGTCAAAAAGCACCTATATAACTTAAGTGACGTCAACATACTCTCCTACTTTTAGAGATCAAATTAATAATAACTAAATCGAACTTATTCCTTTTGGATGACCACAAACGATGATTATATCACAATACAAATAGTTTTTTCTTTGCTATACTCATCTATCCGATCCTTACGTACAAAGCTTTGTTTTTTACGTACAAGGCTATGTATTTGCTTTATTTCTACTTATGAGTTTTAAATGTCACGTTAAGCTCACGTGAAACTTATTGCAGAGTCGCAATTAAAAGGGGCTTGATGATAAGACTGCAGTCTTCTACTTGCTCCTGTCATTATTTTAATTTTTTATCTTATTTATAAATGTATGTATGTAAAATATATAGTGACGAAATAAATATAAAAATAAATAAATAAATAAAGTATAAGTAGGTACACGATTTGCTAAATAGGTAATATAGTTCACGTGTTGATAAATAAGCATATTATTTATTATCATTTTTGATTGTTGTTTTTTTTTTTGAGTTATTTAAAGTTTTTTAGAGTTATTAGAGATTACATTGGTTTCGGAACAAAGTTAGTTTTACACATAGTTTGAAATGTTTTTGGGTTAATAAAATTTTATAGAGTTGTTAGTATTTAAAATAAGATCTATAAATAAGGTTTTCAGAGTATTTAAATTATTCAATTTTTCCAGTTGAGAGTTTTAAGATATTAATTTGTTATATAGACAAGGACCACGGTACGAATTAGAAAAGCACGAGAGATTAGTTTTTTTAAAAGGTTCGCTGAATTTTCACGTTCCTCTGGTATGGTATGTGTTTTTGCTATTTTGAAAGAAATTCTTTAAAAAGTGAGAAGGAACAAGTCCAAGTTTATATTTGAGCATAAACAGCAAATTTTGGAATATATTGATTTAATACACATTTAATGCTTTTAAATTTTTTAAAAGTGGTTCAGCATGCGAGAATCTATCTTTATTAAAAACTATTCTAGCAGCATGTTTTTGTTTCCTATATCGTGTGGTTAGTTTGGATTTATGAGTGCATGGATTTATCGCCCATGCAACATTATGAGTGCATGGATTTATCGCCCATGCAACATTAGCGTATATGTAGTAGCTTTGTATGAACGACCCAGCAAACATTTTTCGTTGTTTCGACGTTAAAATTAGGTCGATTTTTTCGACGTCTTTCTTTTTACTAAAAATTGACGTGTTTTTGACGTTAAAATACAGACAATGATTAATTAACCTGATTTGAACTTTATATGAACGTCGATAAATGACTAAATATCGTCGTTAATTTTATGACCAATATTCTACCTGTTTTCAACGTTATTATTACGTCATTATATTCACGTTAAATTTTAAACATTGTTTCAACATATTTTGAACGTCAAAAATCAACCAAATATTAACGTTATTATTATGACCGTTTTTCCATCAGTTATTAACGTTATATACCAGACCCACGTTTAGACGTTACACATTAGACCGAATTTGAACCATATTTAAACGTCGATTCATGACCAAATATTGTCGTTAATTTTATGACCAATATTCTACTTGTTTTCAGCGTTATTATTAGGTTATTAAATTCATGTTGAACCTCAAACGCGATTATTTGCGCATTTTATTTGACCAAAGTTTTTTTTTTTCACCACACAATAAATTTTGTCGGTTTCGTTTGAATGTTTTAAGGTTAAACGTGTTAGTCTATACAAAAAGTAACAATCGCATTTTTGTATAAACGAGTAATTCATATTGAAAATTAAAAAATTTTACAATGAAACCGACATAATTTTCGCAGTCTGTAAAAAATAATAAAAAAATTTATAACTGACTATTTTACATATATAAATGTAAGTAGTTTAAAAAAAGTTGTTAGTAGTTTAAAAAAAGTTGTTAAGAATTGAAGTAGCATTAAGTAAAAAGACATGGAGGTGAGTTCTTTTGCCAATTAAATTATGTACACACGTTATATATAGACATTATATATAATTATACAAAATATACATATACTATATATGTATATACTATATAGATTAAAAATATATATATATACATATAGGGCCGGGGCGAGTAGAAGTCACGTGGGGGGGGGGGGCGGGGTGCCATCACAACTTTTGCCGTCTAAAAAAAAAAAAAAAAAAAAAGGTCGGGGTAAATTTAAAATTTACCGACTGCCATACTGCCATAACAACATTTGCCGACTGACTTTACCGACAGGGTCTACATTTGCCGACTAACTAGTTAAAAAGGGTCACATTTACGACTACGGGTCAAATTTGCCGACTAAATGTCATTGATGAGGGGGTGTTACACCCCCACACCCCCTATCGCGCCGGCCTTGTATATATATATATATATATATATATATATATATATATATATATATATATATATATATATACATATATATATATATACATATATATATATATATATATATATATATATATATACATATATATATATATATATATTCATATATATATATATATATATATATATATATATATATATATATATATATATATATATATATGTATATATATATATATATATATATATATATATATATATATATATATATATATGTATATATATATATATATATATATATATATATATGTATATATATATATATATATATATATATATATATATATATATATATATATATATATATATATATATATATATATATATATATATATATATATATATATATATATATATATATATATATATAGGTACGCGCACTAAAATTTTTATATTGATTATATAGTAGATTGTTATATATCATTAGAAAGGTCTTCAATACAGTATTTTAAAGGTGAAAGTTATAACATTTTTAGTAGCAAATTTTAGATATATGGAATTGTTGAAGAAACTGTGGTCAAAATAATTTTTTTTTTCAATTAAATTGTTATAACTTTGTCAATTTTTATCAAAATACCTATATCTTGGTATCACAAGATAGGTGCACTAATGGGCTACAAGTTCATTTTGGTGCCTGGATGTATTTTGGGAGCCAGAGGGGGCAATGAAACACCATCTAACCCTTAAGAAAATACAAGTTTTTGTCAGATATAAGAACTTTTTAAATGTAATTGTTATATTTTATACACAAAATATTGCCATAACTTGATTTATATATACATATATATATATATATATATATATATATATATATATATATATATATATATATATATATATATATATATATATATATATATATATATATATATATATATATATATATATATATATATATATATATATATATATATATATATATATATATATATATATATATATATATATATCCCAAATCGTTGCTCAGTAAAATACAGTGATAACTCTATCACAAACCAATGCATAAAATCATGGAATAGTTTACCTCTTCATCTTCAATCCCTCAACTCAATTTCACAATTTAAAAACTGCCTTTTTGACTATTTAATAGAAAAGTACTTTAACTAAAATGTTAGGTTCACCACAGATTGTTATTGCTACTGCTATATTATTATTATATATTTATATTAATATTATTATATATTTATATATGTTTATCTTAGTATTATTATATCTGATGTTCATATTATTTACATTTTTATTACTATCATTATTTATTATTACTTTTTTATATCATTATTATTACTTTTAATATTGTTATTATAATTGTCCTCGTTATATTTACTTTAATTTTATTATATAATTGTTATTATTTTTTAATTGGTGTTTATTGTCGATTAGTACTCCTACTATTAGTAAATTACCATGAAATGTAAAAACATTTATTTCATTTGTTATTGTTATATATATATATATATATATATATATATATATATATATATATATATATATATATATATATATATATATATATATATGTATATCCTCGACATATTAAATTATCATTTGGGCAAATATCGCAGATATCTAACTAACAGATATCTAACTAACTTGGCTTCGTGGGCATCTACCAAAAGAGTTTGCTCGCCAACCTAGGACATTGTTAGAAATGGATAGATGAAAAGCTACAGAATACAGACAATTTCTTCTCTATACTGGTCCTTTAATTTTAAAAGATATTATATCACCATCCATTTATAAGCATTTTCTTTCTCTCAGCATTGAAATAAGTATAATGCTGGATTCAAATGATGAAAGAAGATCAAAGCATCTTGATTACAGTAAGAAGTTGTTAAATTATTTTGTTAGTAATGCTTCTTTAATATATGGAGATACATTTGTTGTTTACAGTGTTTATGGGCTCATTCATTTGAATAAAGATGTTAGCAACATCAATTGTTCTCTCATATATATATATATATACACACACATATACATATATATACATATACATATATATGCATATACATATATATGCGTATACATATATATGCATATACATATATATGCATATACATATATATACATATATATACATATACATATATATACATATATATACATATACATATATATACATATATATATACATATACATATATATACGTATCATGTATAATGTGTATCATGTTTTAAATTTGAAAACTACATGCAAAAACTCAAAGGTTATGTTAGAAAAGCTAGCAATCCTGTTGTGCAAATAGACTAGCAGAATTTGATAAAATAAAAGATAAATGCTGTTTTAAACAGAGGTTTTTCACTACAATCTCTACTAGATCAAAGGATAATTGTTTTCTGTTAGCAAACAAAAACGTTGCTTTTATTAGAGAAATAAAAAATTGTGGAAAATATGTATGTGATGTGGTGAAAATTTGTGATATAGATAATATATTTACCTCACCAGCAGAATCCAAAATATTTCAGATTGGTGTTGTTCATAGTTTTACTAGAGCAATGAGAAGAATTGTGGAAAGACATGAACTTCAAAAAAAAGTTGTGTCACTTCCATACAAAGGAGGTTATGCTCTATTCCCAATGCTTCATGATGCTGAACAGTAATAGCGCTATGGTTTATCTTTGGTACATTGCTCAAACTAATAATTAATTTATCAACAGTTTATAGTTTAAAATGTTCAAATTCTTTTTTCTTTTTTTTTTGATTCTATGTAAAATTTATAATTTTTTTCCAGAACTGCAAAAAATGGATGCGTGCAGTTTGGTTAGAGAGAAGTACCGAGGAAGAGAGAGTCATACCGAGCGCTTGGGTAGTTGGTGATTTTGTATGGTGGCCTTCAGGCGTAAATGTTATGAAAGCCTTTTATTAGAGAGACCAACCAACAAATGATTGGCTAAAATTTAAGTTGTTAAAAATTAAATTTTCATCAGGTAGACTTGCTTATTTATTTATTTTTTGGTTAAATAATTTCCATTTTAGAGCTAATTAATTTAAATTACTTAATTTATAAAGAAAAGACTTATGGATATAAGTATTTTGTTTGAAATTGAGATTCGAATATATGTATATATATGTATATATATGTATATGTATATATATATATGTATATATATATGTATATGTATATATATGTATATATATGTATATGTATATATATATGTATATATATGTATATGTATATATATGTATATATATGTATATGTATATATATGTATATATATGTATATGCATATATATGTATATGCATATATATGTATATGCATATATATGTATATGCATATATATGTATATACATATATATGTATATGCGTATATATATATATATATATATATATATATATATGTATATATATATATATATATGTATATATATATATATATATATATATATATATATATATATATATATACATATATATATACATATATATATATATGTGTATATATATATATATATATATATATATATATATATATATATATATGTATATATATATATATATATATATATATATATATATATATATATATATATATATATATATAAGTATGTATGTATGTATGTATGTATGTATGTATGTATATATATGTATGTATATATATTAGGTTAGAAGAATTGCTAAAGTTGGTGGTGTGAATGTAAAAGAAAATATTGCAAATGTTTTAAATAGGTATATTAATTGTTTTTACTATAATTAGTCATATAAATATATTTTGAAACTGTCAAATGTATATTTTTTATAGTCTTAAATACTTTATGATAATTTCAATAAAAGTAAAATATACAGTGTATATCTCCAGGCGCAGATCTAAGGGGTGGCCATTGTGGCCATGGCCACATAGTTTAAAGTCAGATTGATTTATTAAAAAAAAATTATTTAATGCTTATTAAAAATCTTTTAGATTTAGAATTAATTATTAAGATATTTTTAAATATATGTAATTGAAAACGAATTTAAGCAATTTTAGGACTTGCGTATCATTTTTCGTCGTTGATAAATACGTCACGCTAAATTTAAATTTTAAAAACGCCGCTATATTATTTCAAATTTCTCTGCAATAGAGAGTCAATAATACTTATAAACTCTGCGTGACGTTCTTTATGACAATAACCCTTATCGGATTATGGCCATAGAGATAAAATTTAACGGCAGCCAACTTAGCTTTGGATTTTTTTGCAAGCGTAATATTCCTCAAAATTTCATTGCGTCTGCCGTAATTTACGTAATTTGGCCATAGAGATTCCTACCATGGCCACAACGGCTCCTATTATACGTTACCGACCTTTTATTCAATCGATAAATGCTATCAAATAAATAATAAAATATAGATCTTTCAACCGTGAAAACTAAACTTGGCCACACAGTTGGTTTTGACGTGTCCGAATTAGAAAAATGTTCTCTTATATATAGCTAACAAGTTTGGGTTTTTTATTTGTTACTGTGACATTTTCATTAAAATCGTGTTCCACATTTCTTTAGAAACTAAGATAGCGTGACTTTAATAACTTGATTTTTAAAATTTATATAATATGAATCCATATTTAACTGAAGAACTAGTTGCTTGTGCAATAGAAACAAAGCATAGGCCTAATGTCTTAAATTACAAAACTAGACTCATTAAAGAGCTTTCGAAAAAAAATTTAATGTTTCCAAGAATACAAGATTCTTACCAATTTAATACAGATATGATGGATTTTGTACCCTTAAGTAAAAAAAATCATGGTTATTCAGCATTAAGGTATTTTTTGTTTGTTTTGAGCTTTATGAAAGTATTATTTAATTAAAATAATATCACAAATTGGATCTGGATGTAAGATCAATGTTAGATTTTAATTTTATTTATTGGTATTTTAACACCAATAGAATATAAATCTGTGTTAATAATTAGTTAAACGTTTAACTAATTATTAACACAGATTTATATTCTTGATAATGTGTATGAAAATGAATTATTTATTAAACATACAAATAACCTAAAAAAAGTGATTTAGTTTTTTAATAAGAAATTATGGTATATACTAAAATGTAATATTAGTAAAAAAAAATAATTATTATAGTTGAACTATTTCTTTTTTTGTTATTGATATTACATTTTATTATATTATACTCATTGTCATATTTCAATATAATTTACTATTTTTCTCAGATCTACTGAAGATGGAACTTGTCTTTATAGTTCAGTATCTTTGATTTTAAATGACAATAATCATACTTCAAAAATTCTAAGATTACTGACATCAATTGAGTTATTTGAAAACATAAACTTTTACACAAGGTATGATTATTTTTGTAGTTATTTTAATCAACATAGATCTGCATATTCTCAGCTTTCTAATTTGTTTTTTATTGCTGTTTCGTTTAAATGCTCTGACAGTTTTTCAACGATTAATGATAATATGATTTCTGAACTTCTGTTAAAAGAAGCGTATTTAAATTGCTTTGATAAAACATTTTCATCTTTTATTTGTCTAATAGCATTATCTAATGTTATAAAGCAACCTATTAAATCTATTTATCCTGAAATCGGTTTTAAAAAGTATCATAGTTTTTTTAATACTCTTATAAAGCCTCGCATCCAAAAATTAAATTGTCCAATAAATATTTTGTGGTGCAATTTAGATAAAACAAAAAACCAAAGTATTTTATGTTTTAAGCCAAATCATTTTGTGGCACTGGTTAAAGATCTTTCTAAAAAACGTCCAGCTGTTGTTATGAGTGATCCAAGTTTACTTAGCATCAAAAAAATAAAAATTTCTAAGTCTAGTTTTCCACCTACAGATAACAAAATACAGAAACCAATTCAGTCTAAATTATTTTTTCCTACTGCTTCTAAAAACACTTCCGACATAGATAAGTCTAGTTTTTGTAATAAAATAGTAAAAACTGAAGTAGTTATCTCAAAAAACGCCAACAACAATGATAAAAAGGAAATGAATCTTGAATCTAATGTTCCACAAAAGGAAAGCAATAATTTTGACATTAGTTTATTAAATACAAATCAGCTAGCATCTTATTCAAACTATGATGTTTCATCATACTGTCTACAAGGTGAAAAATTAAAATCAGGAACAAATGATCATGAACTGTTATCTCTAATTAATAATGTCTGGGTTCCAGATAAATGTTTCCAATTCCTTTTAACAGGTAAAAGCAGAAAAAGACATTTTTTGCTAAAATGGCTAAATGATTTTTCTTGGCTTTGTTACTCTAAATTTGAAGATGGTGCATATTGTGTTCCATGTACACTTTTTGGTACAAATTTACCAAACAAATATGCATTATGTAAATTGTTTAAAGAACCATTTAATACCTTGCGTAATACTGTAAAAGTTTTCAACGATCATGAGAAAACTGTTGACGGATTACACATCAAGTCCATGCATTGTTATAATATGCTTTTATCTAGAGCTAAAAATAATACTTTTCCTATTGAAGTTTCTCTAGATAGTTCTAGGAAACAGCGTATAGAAGAAAACAAAAAAAAGCTTGAATCAGTTGTTAAGACTATAATATTTTTAGGTCGAAATGATATGCCTCTACGAGGTCATAGAGACGACAGAAAATATCAAGGAGAAATTGGAGAATCTTCAAAAATTACAGGGCTGGGTAATTTCATTGAGCTTTTAAATTTTAGGGTTGATGCAGGTGATTTAATTTTAAAGGAGCATCTTCTCTCTGCCCCCAAAAATTCCACATATATTTCAAAGACCATTCAAAACGAGTTAATTGAGTGTTGTGGAAATGCAATTGAAGAGGTTTTATTAAATGATATTAAAAAAAGTAAGTACTTCTCCATTATTGCAGACGAGGCTTCAGACTGTGCAACAATAGAACAACTTTCTATTGTCATACGTTATGTTGACTTGAACAGTAATATTAAGAAAGTTTTTTTACGCTTTTTTGAATGTAAAACAGGTACAAGTGGTTTAAGCATAGCTACCAGCATTCTTGAAACTTTAAAAGAGTTTGGTTTAGAAAATGCAGAGGCCAGTCTTATGACGGAGCTGCTTCAATGTCAGGTGAATACAAAGGTGTTTCATCTGTTATAAAAAATGTTAATCCTAAGGTATTATTTGTCCACTGTGCCTCACTTAAACTTAGTTTAGTTGTTGGGAAGAGTTGCCAAATCCAGCAAGTAAAAAATTTGCTTGAGCAAGTTAAAGACATAACTTATTTTTTTAACTTTTCTCCAAAAAGAAGTAATTGCTTAAAAAAATACCTTCTTCCTGGTCAAGCAAAACTTATTGACACATGTCGAACTCGGTGGTTACAAAAGCTTCGTGGACTTGATGTGTTTTTCGATAATTATTCTGCAGTTTTTTCTGCTTTTGAAGAAATGGAAGACAATAATTTAAAAGAGTACAAAAAAGAAACATCTTCAAAAGCATCTTCTTTTATGAAGTTATTGACAAATTTTTCTTTTATAGTTTCTTTAGTTTTAACTAAACAACTAATGGATTACTTTTATGGAATTTCTGTTACTCTTCAAACTAAATCTTTTGATATTTCCCAGCAACTGGATGAAATTCAGAATTTGACTTATCGTTTAAGAGAAATGCAAAGAAATGCTGATGCTTACCATAATAAATGGTATAAAATTGCTCTTGCATTGGCTAAAACATTTGATATTGATGAAAAAAAACCTAGAACATGTGGTGTTCAGAAGCGTAGAGATAATCAAATATGTGATACTGTATCTGATTATTTTAAAGTTTCTATTACATTGCCTCTTCTTAATTACCTTCTCAATGAACTAGAAAATAGGTTTGATATTGAGAGCTTAATTGTTTATAATGGTCTATGTGCTATTCCTGCTAGTTTAACAAAGCAATATTTTAGATCTTGTCCTAAATTCCTAATTTTTTTGAATTTTTATAAATCTGATCTTCCTCATTTCTCATCAATTAATGCTGAATTAGAGTTATGGGAGGAATTTTGGAAAGAAAAGACAGAATTACCATCTACTATTTCAGATACATTAAAGTTTATGGATATGAGAGGCTTTCCAAACATTTTAGAAGCTTTTCATATACTTGCTACAATACCAATCACAACTTGTGAGTGTGAAAGGTCAATATCTACTCTTAGGAGAATAAAAAATTACACTAGGAGTACTATGTCAGAAAATAGATTGAATAGGCTTGCTTTAATGTCTATTCATCAGGAAATAGTTCCTGATATTAACAGAGTTATTGAAATATTTGCATCCAAAGGAATAGAAAATTAGAGTTTTTATTCAAATAAAAGTTTTAAAGTTATGATTAAAGTATTAACTATTGTTTTAAAAGTATCTCTTAAATATAAATAATTTCTCAATAGCAAAATATTTCTACTCATTGTTTTAAACATGTAAATTGTGAAAATAATTTTTTATTAGCAAATTATTACTATTCATTGTTTTATATAAACTATGAAAATCGTACTTCATTTGCTATTTCAATTAATTCCTAATGTTGATAGCGTTTTCAGGTGATTTAGGTTGTTACTTTATTAGTTGTTACTTTATTTATTGTATTATATTTTTTCTTGTTTATTTATTTATTAAAATTTATCAAAAAATAAAAGTAAAAAAAATTATAAAAATATTTAAAATATTTGTGCATAACTGCCTATCAAAAAAAAAAAAAAAAAAAAAAAAAAAAAAAAAAGATTCCAGAAATGGAGGGCTAACCTTAGATAAGATTACTAATACTTAAGTTAAACTGTCTATTAAGAAACGAAAATAATCCATAAATAGAGTAGTAACTTTAGGAAACATAATAATTAACTTAAATTGCCTATCAAGAAAAGGGAAGAATCCAGAAATGGAGGGCTAACCTTAGGCAACATTACTAATACTTGACTTAAACTGCCTATCAAGAAAAGGAAAGAATCTAGAAATGGAGGGCTTACCTTAAGGCAACATTACTAATACTTTACTTAAACTGTCTATCAAGAAAAGGAAAGAATCCAGAAATGGAGGGCTAACCTTAGGCAACATGACAGTTTACTGATGGAGTGCTAAGTCCTATGGCTTACCTTCTCGTTGGTGCACTTTGTTAAGTGAGTTAGGCAAGTATTATGCCTAATTTATGAACTAAAAAGCCAAGGCAACAATTTAAATAACTTTATTGTTAAATAGATAACTAAAAACAGAAAAAAAACAAAAGGAAAGAAACTTATCTTAAACAGGGGCAAAGGAAATAGGGTGATGTCACTCCTTCCTCAACTGAAAATATAAAATTGTATCTGACAATTTTAAATATAGTCGGCAAATTTTGATATTTTAAAGTTAACAAACGTAAAAAATTGAGGCTTATTTATTTTTTCGTTCAAGGCACTTTACTCCCCCCCCCCAACCTCTTTCCTATCACTTATTTAAAAAAAAAAAGCTTTTCGCGCCGTCTGCGAACCCAGATTTGGCCACAGTTACAAAATCCTGGATCCGCGCCTGATCTCAATACATTAATTATTTAATTCCTTCAAAATGGTGTATGCATCTTTCCCGCCCCCACACTAAATTTTCTTAAACAGAATACCAAGCCAACTAAAATGTCTATCCACAGTGCCCACAACTATCCTCAGCTGTCCGCTCCACTGTCCACAACTACAAAAAATGTTAGCAAGTGAAGGACTTTTTTTATAAAAGGATTTGTTTCTTTCATTTAAAGAATTTCTAATTTTTCTGGGATAATCCCCAACATATTTTATAGCATGAAATAAATAAAATATGTATAGTTATATTGACATAATTTGTTAATAGGCTGATGAATAATCATCTGATGAGTGATTTCAATATGAAGGGTAAGCATAGAAAGCAGCCCTTTGGTGTTACTTGCCTTTATAAAATAATAAAAAGTAAGTTTTTATTTAATGTATATGTTTGTATGTTGCATATATATTTTACACTGTATATAAAGTTGGACTAAGGATATAACCATGAAAATAAACCACCTTAAAAACCACAAAAAGTGATAAAATCATAAAATAAACCACCTTAAAAGTCAATAGTGTTGGTAAACAGAAAACTTTAGTCCGGCTTTCTTTTTTAGTTGTTAAATTGTTGAAAATAAAAATATACTTTTTTTCTAGCAAACGCTCTTAATTTAAACAATTGCAATGAGAAGGATGTCGACGATGCCATTTCAAAACACCTTAGCATGCGCCAAAGAGAAAAGGTGGACGTAAATTCACCGAAAAAAATGTTTTATAACGATATTTTGAAATGTTTATGTAACGTATTTGTTTATAAATGTATTAAAATACAGTTATATTTTTAGTCAATATATATTTCTTTAAATTTATTTTATTTTTAGTATATTTTGTTGTTATTATAACTCCAAAGTATAGTTTAAAATAGAGATATCATAACAACTTATAAGTCGTTATACTTTTAGTTTAATAAAACTTTATTCGGGTTTTTTAATCCATACGGCGAATAATTTCAACGTTGTTTCTCCTACGACTTTTAACTAGTGTGCGACGTTTAACTGTAACCAAAATGCGACGTCAATGTTTTACATCCATAATGCGTAATATTTTTACGTTATTTTAAATTTAAATATTGCCATGTATTTGACGTTGAAACTTAACAGCATTTAGACGTCAAATCATATTCGATTTTCAACGTCGAAAATAGACGGTATTTTGTTGTCAGATTTCTACGTCATTCCGTCTTTCAATTCAATACTAATAATCAACGTCAAAACAACATTAATTTAACCTAATTTCGACGTTATATTTACGTAGAAATGTTTGTTGGGGAGAAGTATAGGAGCTTTAAATTATCAGGAGTCAGTATAAAGGATACATATGTTTTTTGATATTTTGGTATTTAATAGATCTATATGTGATTTCTATGAGATGTTCTCATCAATAAGTATCCCTAGAAATTTAGTTGCTTGGGTTATCTCTATTTCTTTAGTATCTATATTTAGCGAAGGTAAATCGGGAGGTATTTTTATATGGTTAGAATGAAAAAGTATGTATTTGGTTTTTCTGTGTTTAGCGATAATTTGTAAAATTTTAACCAACTGTTTATTTTTTCAAGTTTCATACAGTTCTGTAATAGATGAGGATGTATAAAATAAATAAGTGTCGTCTGCGAATATTATGACATCCAATTTACTTGAGGCTTTAGGAAAATCATTTATGTATATTAAAAACAAAAGAGGTGCAAGAATGGAACCTTGGGGGACACCGCATTTTATTTTTTCATGAGCAATAACGCATTGTCTTCTGTCTAGTAAAATGTTTTTGGACCAGTTTAGCGCAACACCTTTTATCCCATATTTTTCCATTTTCATAATTAAGATAGTGTGATCTACTGTGTTAAAAGCCTTAGATAAATCAACAAAGACTCCAAGAACGTATTTTTTGTTTTCAAAGGAGTCATTTATATTATTTATTAGATCAAGAATAACGTGTTCGGTGGACTAAAGATAAAAAGTCTGTGATCATAGCTTGATCACAGACTTTTTATCTTTAGTCCACCGAATCATGACAAAATTGATGTAAGTACTGTATATTGACAAAATTGATGTAAGTACTGTATATTTCACTACAATCCCTTTTAAACACGATAATGAACTTTTAATTTTATTTTCTTCATTTTCAACTTTTTGGGGGCCCCATAAACGTTGGGGGCCCTTGGCGGTTGTCTTATAGTACGGTCCGGCACGCACTATATATATATATATATATATATATATATATATATATATATATATATATATATATATATATATATATATATATATATATATATATATATATATGTAGGGCCGGCGCGAGTAAGTTTTTAGTGAGGAGTGGGTGCCTTACGATTTTTTTGCCAAAAACATTTTTAACGCATAAAAACAAGAGTTAAAAATCTATACTCTTGACAAGTTTGTATTTAAAACAAAAAAGACTTTTTGTAAAGCAAACAAACGTATTTAAAATTTTGTGTTTAGAAATTCTTAATAAAACTGGTAAGCCTTTTTAAATCTCCTTGCTTTATCGACCGCCATGCGGTAAGCAAATTAACTTTCATAATAGTCTTAGAACAATTTTCTCGCAAATGAGTATTCAGAATAAGCATATTTTTTTTTGCTGATGATTTAAACTTGGATGCAATGCGTTTTGAAAAATTTGTAAATACAAAAAACTTTTTTAATTTATTACTTGAATTTAACATAATACCTACCATTTTTAAACCTGCGTGTATTACGAAAACTACTTCGTCCGCAATTGATAATATTTTAACTAATAATATTTTAGATACTTATTTTGAATCAGGTATTTTTATTACAGGTTTCTCTGATCATTTTCCTATCTATCATATTGCGCACGGAGTTTTATCTAACGACTACAATAAAAAAATATTTGTTACTTAAAGAAATCTTTGTTTTAAAGGCCTAGATAAACTTAAAAAGAAACTGTACGAAGAGCGATGGGAATATGTCTATTCCTCTGCAGACTCCAATAGCGCGTTTGAGGATTTTTCGAATACTTTTCAAAATGTTTATGACAATGTTTGCCCAAAATTAACCACTGAAATAAAAAACAAACAACTTAAAAACCCATGGATGACAAATAATTTGATAAAATCATCAAAAAGAAAACAAAAGCTTTATATAAAATTTCTAAAATCTAAAAAAGAAAATGACGAAAATGCGTACAAATCATATAAAAAGTTTTATCAAAATAACTTAAAACAAGCTAAAATAAAATACTATTCTAACCAGCTGAATAAAAATAAGTTTGATATCAAGAAAACCTGGTCTATTATAAATGAAGTAATTGGAAGAGAGAAAAAGAAACTCTCTTGCCTACCAAAAAAAGTAATTATTAACAACAAAACTATAAGAAGTGAAAAAAATATATGTTTGAATATATGAATTTAACAAATATTTTGTTAATGTGGGCGCCTCTCTTGCATCTAACATTGTTCAATAAACTAAAGTGTTTGATGAATACTTGGGTGAGAAAACTGCGACTAGCATATCTAATGAAAAAATAAATAAACACGAATTTAACAAATTCGCTAAAAAAACGCTATTTGAACTAAAGCGTATCAAGTCATGTGGATATGACGACATTACCAGTAATGTCGTCATATCCACAAAGTAATGTCGTCAGTAATGTCGTCATATCCACATTAGTAAAGCTATCTATGTTATGGATAGTATAAGTAAACGATTATTTTATTTGAGAATAGTATATTTCCTGACAAATTAAAATCAGCCAAAATTCATCCAGTTTTTAAAAATGGTGATTGTTCTTCTGTTTGCAACTACCGTCCTATATCACTACTCCCTGTATTTTCAAAAATATTTGAAAGGGTAATTTTTAATAGAATTTATGATTATATGACATTAAATACACTTTTATACAAAAATCAATTTGGATTTCAGAGATATTGCTCAACTGAACATGCTATTATTGAACTTTTCAATAAAATACCCATGTCCTTTGATAAAGGGGAAAAAGTACTGGGAGTATTTATCGATCTCTCTAAGGCTTTCAATACTGTTGATCACGGAATTTTGCTTTCAAAGCTAAAGCTTTACGACATTAAAGGCCTAATATAAAATATTCCTTATATAAAAATTCGTCGCAGACAAAACATCACACATGTTTCGACTTTAGAGCAGCCGTGGCGCAGTGGTTAGAGTTCTGGCTCAGAACCCAGAGATCCGAGGTTCTACGCCAGCTCTAGCCCAAAAAGCAACATTGGTATGGAAGGAGGCGTGAACTTCCTGTTAAATTATCTCCCGAGGTGCTCTGTGATAAGACCGTAAGGACTTCTGGGAGCACCTAAAATATTTACAAAAAAAAAAAAAAAAAAACACAACGAATCAACGAAGTTTTTAGCCACATTCTTGAAAATTATTATACTTATTGTAATAATGACGCTGTCAGATTAAATCTAGAGTGGTTAAGTAAAGTAGTTTAGTCTTTCTGCGTAATAAAGTTTAAAAAAATGATTCATATGGCGTCCGTGGAATTATTTTTCACTTCATCGGTCCTTCCCACAGAAAAAACCAAAAGTAATCTTACCTTTAACAGGGGGAGGGGGATAGAGTGATGTCAACCCTTTTTCATCCACTGGTCTTTATCGAATTTATACTGTAGTTGGCAATTTTAAATATAGTCAACAAATATTTACATTGTAAAGTCGGCAAATGTAAAAAATTAAGGACCTTTTTTTTGTTGTTTATGGCACTTTAACCCCCCCCCCCCCCCACCTCCATTACTCATTAAAAAAAAAAAATTAGCTCTTCGCGCCGTACGCAAACCCAGATTTGGCTACGCAGTTGCAAATTCCTAGATCCGCACCTGATGTATGTATGCATGTATGAGGGTTTGGCATGGGGTAGTAATCTTTTGATTCATTATTCTTCGTTTTGTTCGTTTTTTTTTCTGAAAAAGCCGTATCAATTTAGATAAGCAAAAAGAGTGAGCAAATGCTCAAATAAATATGCTATAGTAGATATAACATTTCTTGAGGAAAAATGCAGAATCGCATCGAAACGTCGAAACGAGATATTTTATTTTGAATTGCCAGCTAATTAAAGGTCGTTCAAAAGAAATTTTGTCTGCTTGTATTCACTAGACTGTATATGTACGAGTATCACGAATTTTTACCAAATCAGCCATTAAACAGGTTTTAGAAGCTCATCAGCACGTCCATGTTATAGAGGGATACGTCCCATATCATCAGCACAATTAAGAAATTGGAATGTTGTTTTGAAATAAAAAAAAAAAGATTTGTTTGCCAAAAAATTGTGTAGACATTATTGTACCTTGCTTTTCTTCACAACATTGCCTTTTTAGAGAATGATATTTGGGTATATCATGAAAAGTAAAATGACGAGAGATTTTGTAGGAGAAACAAAAAGAAATCTCGTGGTGGATCCGACGTGCATTGTGGAGCTTCCAACTTAACGTGTGCGTGAGTGTCAGCGTAGTCATTAGGTTATTGATCGCCGTAACCACATCCAGCGGGATAGCCTAATGTCCATTTTGTCGTTGTAGTGTACCTTGGAAAAATTCGGGGCTCACCAGCCACAATGAATAGATTTTTTTGTTTATGCGAAACAATGATCGCAAAAAGTGACCAACTGAGCCGTCCAGTTACGTAGACCTGGGAGATGTGAAAAAAAAAAAAACAGATTGAAGATTATGTCAATTAGGTAAAAAACATAAATTAATGTAAAGACTATTTAGTAGGAGGAGTAAAAGTTAGCAACTCAGGAAGAGAGGAACCAAAACTCACACTCTAGTCATCCTTAGCAAATGATAAAACAAT